TATTGATTTAGTGGTGATGCTATCTTGATTTTCTTTTTTTTATCATATAGACGAGGTTATTGTATAATTGACGGTTTGATGATGAAATATATCATGTAGGTAAAAAACATAAAGTTTATTATAAATAGTATGAAGAAAATATTAGATATGATATGATCATGGACAATTCGATAAGATCAATAATATAGATAGATCATAGAATGGATGCAATCATAATAAGCAGAAAATGTCATTCGCTTAGCCACGTTAAATCATTCATTTGATAGTTGCGAGACTTGAAGCTTAGAGATATGTATTTTTGTATGTGCTCGTGCATTGCATGTATAGAAAACTAATATCGTGTGATTAATTAGTTATTACCTCTCAATTGGTCCAAACAATTTGGGTTTGTTGTGATGCCTCACGAGTTTATCCACCCTTTGAACAATTCTAATAAAATCCTTTGACTAATTGTTAATGTCAAGGTTTTCCCAAGAGATATCAATAAGGAGGATTAATAAAATCCTTGCTCGATATTAAGGGGGACGACTCTCATTGTCAATTTGGTTGATGACTAAAATGACCTGTCTATATTTTCCCTTCTTTACAAAATTCTTTCCTGATTTATTTATTTAAAGAATAGAGAAATTATATTAAAAAAAATATATTAGTGAATAATTTAGATAGAGGTTCATATGAGAAAGAATATGTAACACCCTTGATTAATCCCACATCGAAAGTGGGTAACACCTCTGATTAGTTCTACATTGAAAGTGAGCAAGATTAAGATTAGCTTATAAGAGTTTGATGAACTTTCAATATGGGACTAATCAGGGGTGTTATAATCACCCTCACTCAAAGGCTTGACATCTTCGTATCTAATGGGCTAATTGACCTATCAATTTCGTTTGGTCCAAACCATTGACCAAAATATTGTAACACTTTCAATGTGGGACTAATCAAGGGTGTTACAGAATATTTTATGATGATACGAGCAGGTGATAAGAAAACCTGTAAAAAGATGTTAGATAATTACCATTAGTGATATGAAAAGAAATATGAGGAAACTTAATTTCATTAAGAGTATGATTTTTGATGTAATTGTTGGAGTTGGTTGTTTAAACAAACAGGAGGCCTGATAAAAAATTTTTAATCATCCGTGATGTGCACAATCAACACCGCACTTTAGTACAAAGCAATGCGTGAAAACAAAGGTTGGGGTGTCTCTTAATTGTGACTTGACCTGTGTTGGGTCACTTTTCGACGGACTTCTTTGATCGAGCAATTAATTAAATTAAAAGTGAAGGAATCTTCTCTTTCTCTGTCTTCTTCCGTTGACAATTAAACCAACCCACCACCAACTCTTGTGTATTGCTGTCCCGTTCCGCCCAAGACAAAATGCACCGGTTCTCATTGCTTTAGGCCTTTATGTTTAGCCTGTGACGCGATGGCGTGGCAGCAGCACAACGGTAGTGACTCTCGTGGGATCCACTGTCGCTTGCTCTATGGGAAAGCAGAGGGGTCGAGGAATTCCACGAACCAGAATGGCCAGGACGTGTACATTATGGCGTAAAATTAAAGCCAGCACGTGGGATGGCATGGGATGATTAATAACTGGTAGGGTAAGATATATGTACTCTAGCATATAGATATATGTTCCACCATAAATGCCTTTCTTTAACAACATAAAATGCACAGAATGTAACTTGAGGTGAAAAAAAACACCTTCTAATAGGAGCAACCAAGAAATCCACGAAGCTTGACGGTTCAGGTGTAACTTGAGGTGAGATTTTTGGAGGAAGATGCTTTAGAAATGCTTTAACAGCTCCAGAAACACCATCCTCCATTTCCATGGCTTTGGCTAGTTGGACAGCATTTTCTTTCACCTGTAAATTTGCAAAATCCACATACATTAGACTACAAAAGGAGACTAAATGATTGATTCACCAAAACTAAGGTTTCCAATAATAAATATTGCTGTTTGAAAGTTCACAGAAACACATAATCCAATCGCTGCAGGTTTTGGATACATTCTGCAACGAGTTTTGTAGGAGCAACATTTCCAATGAAACGAAGTAGAGTCCTAATTGTAAAAGAACATCTGGTTCTCATTGCAATTGTAAAAGAACATCTCTGACAACTCCTGCATTTTTCAGAAGCCTCACCACTGTATTGCAATTGGTAGTTGGTAGTTATCTCTCACATCTGGTTCTCCTACTAGCCACCATTGTCTTTTACCACAAATCATGGTCATATGTTTTGTCTTATCATGTTCTCACCAAGCACAAATATCAAAATAATCATATGACATTTGGAAAGGCCGATTACTAACCTTCGGTGTCATCATGAACATTATTGCATCAACCAATTTTTCTAGTGAAAATTGATCAACAGGGATAGGTGGGGGTCCCAGTCCCCTGGCATGCACTCGTTCTCCCCAAAAAGGTTGGTCACCAAAGAAAGGTACAATAGTAGTTGGGCACTACAAAACCAACGTTATGTAGACAAGTATGTACATAAGCAAATTTTACGGTCTC